ATACAGGGCTGGAGGATAGAGCTCAGTAGCCTAGCTTGTGCTATGTATATACAGTAACAAATAAATTAAAAAATTAAAAATAAGGCATAGTGTCACGTGCCTGTAATCCAAGAAACTGGGGAGGCTGAGGCAGGAGGATGCAAGTTTGAGGCCAGCCTCAGAGATTTATCTAGGTTTTGTCTCAAAAGACTGGGGTGGGGCTTGCAGGGTGTAACTCAGTGGTAAACTATCCCTGGGTTCAATGTCCAGTACTGCACAAATAATAATTAAAAATAAAAATAAAGCCCTCACCAAACCCAGCATACTTCCGGTGCTCATACTAACCTGAGATGAGAGAGCCAATACTTAGAGTGAGAACAGGTGGGCTTTGGGTACTCCATGGTTTTGGTATTGCTTTGGAGACAAAAAGGACTCATGGTGGCTGTAGGAACATGAGTTAAAAATGCTACTGAGGTTGTTGAACTTTTAGGAACTTTGCTTCTGTCTCAAGGAGTAGTAGTGTTGAAGATGAAGCCATGTATCAGCAAAAAGACCCCAGAAAACAACAGATGGTGACCTTTGAAGCAGCAGAGTGATTCCTTAAAGAATCTGCTATTAATCTGGGAACAGTACAGCACTGTTATGGGCACACATGTGTCATGACGAGCCACGAATGGATTCAAGGAGGTGGAGGCGAGGGGAGGCTTTGAAAGATAAAATGAGGATCACATCCGATATTTGAAACAGTGATCCCCACCACCACTACCCACCGCCGCCTTGGTACCAAGGATTGAACTCAGGGGCACTTAACCACTGAGCCATATCTCCAGCCCTTTTTTGAATATTATTTAGAGTCTTATTATTTAGGGTCTTGCTAAGTTGCTCAGGGCCTCCTTACATTGCTGAGGGTAGCCTTGAACTGCCTCTGAGCTGCTGGGATTACAGACTGGGCCACCACACCCGGCTGAAACAGAAATTCTTGGTTACAAGGATCAATAGCAAGGATGGGTGGGTCCAAGTTTACACAGGCACTCACTGGGTAGGGGCCTTGCAGAAGTGT